TTCGGGATACTCGGTGTCTAGTTTCGTAAGTGGGTTTAGGGTTTAGGATATTTAGTGGTAAAGACCAGGCCAATTATAAGATATCAGTAGATCTATCTTGAACCACAAAACCTGCTTGTTTGAAGGGTTCGTTATGTTCAGGCTTATAAGAAGGGCATGCAAATTAGTCGGTTATGGTAGTTTATAAGGTATAGGTCAAAGCTGTCCCTAAACTCCTAAGCAATGAACCTTCTAAACATAGCCCACCGATGTACCCATTGTTCGTCCTTGCAAGAGCATGATCTAGGGGTCGCGATAGTTGGCTATAGTATGCCTATATAACACCAATATAAGGATGCAGGACACTACAACACCCCCATTGACATGATCAAGGCTCCAACATGAAAATAAACATGGAAGCCATCATTAGAGCCCTTTAAAGTGAAAGGACCCTCTTCGAATTGTTTCGGCGGTAGACTCAGGCCGAAGCTTGCTCACAGAGCAATTTGAACATTGGCTTGCTGGCGTACTCGATCCTTGCAGGAGGTCCGGCAGTGGCGTCTTTCCTTTAGGGTTTAGGGTCCATCTATACTATTACTTTAGAACGAGGTCCCCGAAACCCATAATAAGAATGGTCGCTTTGGGGCCCAACTCCATAATGGTAGTATACATGGACCCTTTGGGTTTCGGTTTCGAGAAAGTCCGACAATTTTGAAACTTGTATACGTAGCAAGACTTGTCCTTTCTCTTAAGATTAGCATGAGAAGAGGATAGTCAGTATAGTATATTTCGAACTCCTATTCTGATTGTATTGAGGCCCCCATATCAGACCCCGCGGAATCCTAGGAGAGTTTTGAGAATCTCTGAACTAGTTTGCGGGTCGCTCAAAGCTGCCTGCCTGCAACATGTGGGTGAATCATGCCAAACTACCCGCTGTATGGCTCAAGCGCCTGGCCGTACAAGACGGCATAGACGAGTGCGCCAATGTTTCTGCAGGGCGTGTGTAGATATGTTTGGTTGCCTCTGCTGCTGCCACCTCTCTTACGATCCGAGGAAAGTTGCTCCGAAGGTATCCGGCGGATAGGACTTCATGAGCTGACTGCCATGCATGAGGCGCTGGAATCAGAGGGTGCCGTTATCGTGACCGGCGTGCATCACACGGGCGGTACATGGGAAGAGAAGGCATCAGCCTTGCCGTCCCTCACTTTTCCGGGCCGCCTGGTCTCGAAGACCCCAAAGGTCCAAGGAATCCACCTTGAACATCAGCATCTGAAGCAGAACCTGACGACGAAGCCCTTCGAACTCGTGGGCAAGCCTCTGCTGCCACACACAGACGGATACATCTATGGCGAATTTCTTCCCGACTACATTGCATTTGTGGTCGAATCCCAAAGCGACACTGGTGGCCAGAACTTTGTCGTGGACGGGAACAAGGTTCTGGAAAGGCTATGCGAGAAGAGCGGTACTGCAGATGCACCGTCGCTTGACGCTTGCTTGCTGGTTAGGACACAAACTGTTGATTTAACAGAGCGATCTCCACCGGGCTATGTGAATGGTCGGGAGTTCATTGCTCCACTCATGCGGCACCAACATCAGAGACTGCGTTTTCACCGACAGGTCTCCGTCCTTGCTTGTGAGGATGCAGTAGACGAAGATGGGGGGCTTCGTTCCAACCTGCGCCCATACCAGAGCCTGTGGAGCGCGGTGGCACCAGCCCACGGGGGAGATGGCCATCAGCGCGAAGTGACTGAACTGCTTGAGGCTGTTGATGCCGCTGTTCAGCAGGAGGCTGCTGCAGCTCCACGGTTTATGCTGCAAGAGGGGGAGGCTCTCATGATCGACAACTATCGGATGCTGCATGGCAGGGAGGGCTACCATGGCACCACTGAGCGCAAGCTGTGGCGAGTCTGGTTCTGGACCAACGAGAGTAGTGGTATCCCAGAGGGCATGCCAGAGCTTGGTTCCGTCCTGGATGCAGAGGAGCTAAGTAGCTGAGTAGGAACGACAGTCATCTAGCACAAAGCCTCTTCCAGCGAGGATGCTTGTTCCTTGCTGCTGCAAGTGGCAAAATGGTGGATTCATCCTGTCTACTTCAAGGTTACCGGCTTATATATATATATGTATATATATATATGTATATATTGTTTTAATGAGTACGGCCTCTATACTGAACGCTTAAGGGGAGCCTAGTCTGATCATTAAGGCTCCTAGTGGTAAAGCAACTACGCAAGCCAAGGAGGTAATAAACAAATCGGCCACATGAGAGGGTCCAGTGATGTTGTTGGGTGTAGGGTCGCGAGTTAGCCTCTTAAAGTGCTTCCGTCCTCGCAATGGATTTTGCTTTTTTGGTGTTAAAGGGTCAAGGATTCCAGAACCGACCAAAGGAAGAGCACCAATCTGCACTAAATTCCATACTCCGGACGCATAGAACCAGATCCACAAACCGGAAAACGCAGAGGCCTTAGGAGCCCGACAAAAAAGTAACATCGGAAATTACTTATATAGACTTCTATATTACGCACCTTGTCCGCGCAGGCCTTCTCAGCGGGAAGTATTTGCCAGGGAAGCCTGCGCCCCCGAAGAGCGCGCGGCACGTGAAGTATCCGGAATTCATGTCAAGGCCGGGGAGAAATTGAACCACTCGGGCTTAGGGTTAAGGGTTTGGGTCAAGGAATACTGTCGAAAAACCAAAGGGCTGTCGCCGCTTTTGTTTTGTTTTTGGGCATAGACGGTTCATTATTTACCGTTATTGGGTTGGGCTGTTTGGTTTGTGAAGGACTAGATGGGTTCGGATGTGAAGGCAGGCAGAGGCTGAGATCATGGGTTTCGGGGTTTATCAGTTGTAAGAATGATACTAGGATTGGGTCGGTGATCAGCTTGTTGTTTCGGCAGTTCGGGCTTCTGAACTTGGCATGCAGAGGATTCTAGTGCACCTGATTTGCATGCGGTCGTTGGCGTTACCATCATAAGCCTCTGAACCGGCAGGGACCTGACACACTGCTATAGTGTCGTGAGGTCCCCAAAGCCACAATAACATCTTCTGTACTGCAGTACATACTGCTGTGCTGATGGACCACGTCCAGCACTACCTTATGTAAGTCCATGGGAACTGCAGAAAACTCCATCTTAGTCAGGGTTCATGCATCATTTAGTCCATCAGCCATACGGACCCTTAGTGGCAGCAGTCTCCTGGGCAAGATTACTGCACAAGTTGGTTTCTACAGTAGCTGGAAGACCGCTCGCTAAAGCCTCTGATGCAGTATCCTCATCCCACCCCGCATAGAAATCCTGGTAGTGCCTTTGACTTGAAAGGATTAAGGAACCCCAGCCCCAAGGCAAGAAAGGCTCTTCTTTAACATGGCCTTCAGCACAGATTCTTGCGAGAATTTGAGCTTCCCTTGCGGCTTCCATGATAAGATTGCTTTCATTCCAAGGTCTCCAAAGTAACGTGGCAAAGTACATGTCATGGAGCTACTGGCATAGCCATGCAGTCCTTCTTTGGGGGAAGCGCCAGGTGGAACCCATCGAAAGGAATTTCTGCGCCGTGGATCGGTTTAGCGGCTCTTTTCTCGTGTGATAAAGATTTTGCCAGAAAGCTTCCATCATTCTGCTCGGTCGTGGTGCGAGCTGGACACACAGGCCTGCACCGTCTAGTACTGAAACACGATATAGCAACATCCGGATACTGTCCCATGCACCACGCAAACACGACATCCTCAATCCGACATCCAAAATGCTAGGCCCATAAGGGTTTAGGGTTTAGGGTTTTCTAAGCCCCACATACTTCATTCAAACCTACCACGGTTGTCGGGTGTAGTGAACGAGCTCTTAACTCCAGGTTTCCTGGAAGGTAGCATGCAAGAGACAGCTTAGAACTTCCAAAATCCTTTATGAATGTATGTTTTAATCTGTAGTAGGATCCTATAACCATACTCGGGATCTCGAGTATGATTTAAAGTATATCCTTGAATTAAGGGGTTTTGGAAGGTCTGAGCAGCTTAGGAACTGTCAAAGGCAGTCGAGGCTTATGCCAAGATCGCGGAGGACGGGTTCGGGTTTAGGATTTAGGGGTTCGGGATTCATTGGGGGCAGTTTTGAGGGCTCTTCCAAAGGCTGGCGCATACTGTCCAAGGTAGTTCCTGTTTTGGGTGTAAGATCATATAGGATCTGTGAGTAAACCTTGATTCCTCAGAATCCCACGAAGCAGGAAGCAGGCATGTCCCTGACAGACCTCTCCACGCGCTGGTGTCGCACACGCGCCTCGGCTTACCACTCAACCGCCCTAAACCCTAAACCCTAACAACGTCGTCAATTTCTGTTGCTTCTTTCCAACCTCGCTAGTGGGCATCGTGCCTCAGCCATGCGGGAGGGAAAAAACACCCTAAACCCTGTAAACCCTAAACGCCAAGCCCTCTCAGCCTTTTGCCCTTAAGCTTACACCCTGTGCACCTGCCTGGTTCGACCCCGGGCTGATTTTCAGTCTGCTTCGTTTGTTCTTAGTATTATGAGCCCTGTAGGGTTTAGGGTTGCATTATGAACCCTATAGAGTTTAGGGCTTAGGCTGCTTAATATGAGCCCTGTAGGGTTTAGGCTTTTTGAACCCTGTCGGGTTTAGGGTTTAGGGGTCGTATTATGAACCCCACAGGGTTTAGGTTTTCGGGCAGACTCAGAGGCGCCGGCCGGCACCTCAGTCCGTGCTGAAAATGCAAAGGGGCTCTTATTATGAGCAGGGTGTAGGGGTCTTATGATCAACCTTATAGGGTTTAGGGTTTAAGGTTTTGATTATGAACCCTATACGGCTTGCAGGTCTTCTACAGAACTCCTAGGGACCCTAAAGACCAGCCGAGGCTCGTATTGCAAGCATGGCTCAGCCTCCTGGCATGACAGGGTTTAGGTGTGGATAGTTCTCTAAATCAGGGTCCGTTTATAAGGGTTTAGGGTTTCGGTATGGGAAATTCTCTAAGTTAGGGTCCCTGTTAGGTCCTTTTATGAGGGTGCCTTACTGTATTTTGGATCTGAAAAGGGGCCCTACTTTGGAGAACTGCCCATATGGTATGTCTCTACTGTGGATGTCCTTTCAGTTTGCATAGACTTCAATTTGCATATGGTATAGTCTAGCGCTGAGGTTTAGTTGGAAGATCTACAGCAGGAGATGCATTGAAGAGTAGACGTGGATCCTTGGTTTCGCGTTCAATGCTTGGGAAGGGGGGATGGGGAGTTCCGGCTGGTGGTTGCGATCGGGAGAGGCAGCATTGCGACATGATCTTTAGAAGATGAAGAAGAACGAGAAGACGATTCGGACATTGGGGCTGCATAGGCGATGAAGATGTCAAGGTTTCATGGTTCTCTTGGAAGGCTCCGTGCACTACTGACTACTGGTGAAGATCATGTGGAGATCAGATAACTGGGCACATTGCATGCTGGAGCATGCTGGCTACTGTGCCTCCAGCAACTACCAAGCCCCGACATCCTAAACTCAGAACCTCATTTTGCTGGCTCGAGTCCGCGAGCATAAAATTAGAAGCGGTGTATGTTGGGGCCGGGAATCGTCGTATTTCATTCGAACTTCAGGGATATGCTCAAGTGTATACAAACCTAGAAACCCTGCAAAGCCGCATGATCATAGAACTTCCTTATGAAACGGGTATAACACCCTGGAAAGCCCCATCAAACTTCCTAGACATCCTCCTGAGGTGATCATTGGGGCGACTTCTGTCGAGCAGTTGAAGGAGAACCTCGATGCTTTCGAAGGCCCAAGATCCAATGGTAATGTACCTATAGCCTCCATCGACCCTAACTATAAAATTGGTGCAACCAACACGAGGATCTACAATGGAGACTATAGGTAGAGCCCTGATTAACAGAAGACCGTTCTCTTTAAAGGCCTTCACGCTCGAATTCTTACTATAATCATCACGAACGTGACAGGAGGGGTAAGTATTCATCAGGGGTTTGCCTTCATGATGTTCCTCTTAAGTCCTCACAATACAGAATTACGGTAGACCTTTCCCAAGTATGCCTGTTCTTCAGGCCCCTTTATTAACTGTTTGATTTGAGAGCTTCGGGTCCTTGGTGGTGAGGGTTTAATCACGGCTCTAGGGGATGTTTGCTGCAGCCGCCATTTCGAACGATAGCATTGCAGCACAACGACATGTACACATATATATATATATACACACATATATATATATATTTATATTTATATTTATATTTATATTTATATTTATATACACACACGCACACATATATATATATGTGTGTGTATACATGCATGTATGCACACACACACACATATATATATATATACACACATAAAAAACAAGATATGCACACATATATATATATATAATATGCATACATACGCATATGCATACAGAACTTCCAGAGCCCCCATCATGTCCGCCCGGTGCTTCGGAATACCTTCGAGACGTAGTAGCCACGCCTTGAACCCTACCACCCTCCATCTTAAAGCCTGATCCTGAAATGGCTAGATCCTAGTAAACTACAAAACCATAAACCCTCCACAAAGTCGATGCAGCAAAAAAGGTGAGGAGGGCCTCCCCGAGGAGGTGCTGCAGAAGATCGATGATGTCCATCTGAAGCTTCGGCACCCGGGGACCTACCTTTGAATTCGGAGTACTCTTGGGGTTTGTATAATCCTACCATAATTGAAAGGTTGGGATTCAGCGACAAGGCACGGAAAGCTCCGGCAGAGGGGACAAGGCTCGGGCTCAGTTCGATGGGTGAATGTTGCTAGGCAGCGGCGAGGGGATGAGGAAATCCGAGAGTGACAAAGGGAGAGAGGGAGGCGAAAGTATTTTTGTTGTGATGAAGGAGCCTGAACCCTGGTACCGAAGGCGCCTCACCTTATTCACTGATAGCCATGTCAGTGTCCATGGAAGTGTTAATACTACAGCACTACGGCTGTCAAAATGGTCTTGGGAGAGCAACAAGAGATGTGGTAGGTAGCAACTACGAAGAAGCCACCAGGGCAC